AGAGGCGACATTCAAAGTATGACTTTGGCTTCAAAATATGAGAAGGTAAGTAAAGAACTACCTTTTACCTAAGTTATTCAAAATGCAATGTGATATTTTTATGACAATGACATTTTTATGATTCCAACATTATTTAAGTACCAAATGGTGTAATGGACTACTGATTGCAAAATGCTTTGACAAAAATTTTCCAGATAAGAATGATTATACTTGTTATTACCCGGGATGTACAGTGACCACGAAAAATTTCAACGAACATACAACACATAAGAAAACACACGGTCAACCCTTCATCTATGAATGCAAAGTGCCCGATTGTGGGCGAATATTCGACTATAAATCATCATTTTACAGCCACAGACAAACGCATAAACCTCATCCTCAGTGCGAGTGCTGTGGCAAAGTCTTTGTCAGCAAGAATGTACTGAGTTATCATAAGAAGCGCTGCCCTAAATCTCGTTAGTTTGCAAATCTAGCAGAATTTTAGAAGTATATGACAGCTTAAAATAGAGTGCATGTGAAAGAAAACATATATGGAAAATTTGTAGAAAACATAGCTTCTAGTGATGTAAATTAATTGAAATGATATGTGCTAAGGAGTGATATTTTTATAAATAATCAGATTACAGAATTAGTTGCCAAACATTGTAACAGAATGGCAATTGCAAAAACAAATAATATAAGAGTTTTTTAGGCGGAAAAAACTACGAATGTCTCAACCCCGGATGTGCTATGGTCACGAAAAGTCGCAAAGAATTTATAACACATAGAAAAACACACGGTTTGCCCTACATTTATGAATGCAGAGCGCCCGGTTGTGGACGAATATTTGACCATGATTCATCATTTTACAATCACATACAGACGCATGGACCTCGTCCTCAGTGCGGGCGCTGTGGCAAACATTTCGTTAGCAGGAATGGATTGAATTATCATAAGAAGCGCTGCCCTACAAAATCTCGTTAGTTTATAAATTTAGCAGAATTTTAATAGATATGTCAGCCTGAAATAGAATGCATGTAAAATGTGTTGAAAAATATCTGTGACCGCAGAGTGACCTAAGAACCAACTGCTTAAAAAGGTGTTGACAGTGGTGGCAGTGACGTTTCAATATACATCAACAAACATTGAAAATATTAGCAAAGTAATGAATATTCCATCCACTCTTGGCCAAATTGCTTTGTTTTTCTAATTCATGGAAAGTATGCAGAAAAGCATATCATTTCATCCACAAAACCAAGCTGCGATGAACTGCTAATCATTTCTTTTGGCGTTACAAAACAAGCAAAAATTTTCATTCCAGAAAATGAGACACAATTTGGGCATTCTTCGCAAACATAAGAAGAGGAGCGCAGCAATCAGCCGTTTTCGAAGCATCAGAATGCAGTTACCAATTTATAAATTCATTTTGTTATTGGATTATTTAATATTTTATCGTTATTCATTATCCCATGAATATCATAGCAATGCATAAATATATAATTGACAATGAAACCTAAAATTTGAGGGCAAGCAATTAATGTTGTGGAAGGTTTTGATTTGCTTAATTAATAATATTGGAAGAGGTGTTTGATCGCAGGAGATTGTCTTGGATGTAAATGTAAATGCGTGAGGTAACAGAAATATAAACCAATTTTTTTATTAGCAGAAGTAATAGGACAAAACGTTGATAGCGAACAATTGAAATTGGAATCGTCGGTCCTTGGCTATAAATTACACACATCCCCAATCTTTTAACAAGGGTGAACCTTATGTAGTAATTATCTTATATTATATATGTTAAAATGTAGGAATGGTTTATAATTAGACATTTTTGTACAAAGTATGATAGTAAGTAACTTTAACAATAGGTTTAAATATGGATATCACGATGAATTGAATGGATATTACAAAAGAAAGTACAATGGTTTGTCTAGACATTATGATAATTGGCTACTATGAGTTACAATAGACATTACATGATAGATGTTCACAAAGTAAATGAATTGATATGAGATCAAAAGTTAATTAAACCAGTACAATGAATTGTAAAAGACATCAATGGATTGCTATATTAAGCATTGTTAACATTTATTTAGTGCTTCGCGAAATTAAAATCCGCGACAATTAAATGCAACGCTCAATAAAGGATTTATCATGCAAAAAGGTAATAAAAAACATACTAGAGAAGTATTATTTTAATAATAATTTGTGGCAAAAGTGGGCAACACGAGATGATTTTAAGCAAAGAAATGATTTTATAAGAAAAAAAAGTAAGCCAGCTTCAATTTAGTCTAAGTCTTAACGTGCAAAATAAGTAGTAGATGATGAAAAAACTTCCATTACATCATTGTTTTTATTATTTACAAAAGTTAACATTTGTAAATAATTTAAAATTTATTTCGTTATATACAAAATTTGTTGAAATTTGTATTTTAAAAAACTTCAAATAAAAAAAAATCAAATGAAAATAATGTTTAATTTACAATAAATAGTTAAAATTGTTAGCTAAATACATAAGAAGTTGAAGTGATATAATCTTTAGAGAAATTATGATAGCATAAAAATAATGTATAATAAATATCTTGATAGCTTTCACGTGTTATAAGAAATCAGAAATGAATTTTATTAACAGCTATGTTACGTTAATGCATACAAGTAGACCAATCTGACAAAACCAAATTTATTTTTTTAATTTTGTTAAATGCAATATTTCTAAATTTGAAAGCCACCATTTCAATATCTTCAAATAATTTATATTCAAACAATTGGCAACAATATTATGGAAAGAATTATGACGAAAAATGGAGGGTCATATCGACAGAAGCTATAACACCAGAGAAAATATCAAATAAGTTATATTTATTTTATCATTATATAAAATTTCAATTTTGTTAACTTTGTAACATTTTGAAATTCACATTTTAATGAATTCTCCGCTAAAATAATTTGAATATGATGTCATCAAAATATTTTGCAAGTACTAAAGCTAAAATTTTAAATGAAATATACTATCTAAAAGTAATGCAAGCATGAAAACAGTCCGGAATATTTTTTAAGAATTTCCTTTCATCTATTTATTGTGCTATTATTGTTCTTTACTAAATGTAAGAGTTAAAATGGTTATTTTAACTAATTACAGTATTATTTTTAATAATCATAAAATTGTTTTGAATCATTTAAAAATTATGACTGATTTGCTTTTGTGACAAATGTTGAAATTTACCTTTCCAATTATTATTGATTTCACAAATAAACTTAAATAAAATTTGACACATTTTACCTTTATTCATTATAAGACTGCATGAAGTGAACAGTTCAAAGCAACCATTTCTTTATTACTATTTTAAAGAAAAAATTACAATTGTTAAATTGCAACAAACAAAAAACAAAAACAGTACAATAATTGCAAAAAAATTTATACGGGAAAATAATTTTCCATTAAATGCCATATAAAATGGATTTAAAGTTTTGTCAACCTAATTCATTTGGTTCTGTAATACTGTTGCGCGACTTTAAAAGAAAAAAGAAATTAATCCAGTCTGAAACATCTCGCATTTAATTGCTTGCCTTCAAATTTCGCTGTCAATTATACGTTTATGCATTTCTATGATATTCATGGGATAATGAATAAACGATAAAATATTAAATAATCCAATAACAAAATTAAATTATAAATTATTAGCTGCATTCTGATGCTTCGAAAACGGCTGATTGTTGCGCTCCTCTTCTTATGTTTGCGAAGAATGCCCAAATTGTGTCTCATTTTCTGGAATGAAAATTTTTGCTTGTTTTGTAACGCCAAAAGAAATGATTAGCAGTTCATCGCAGCTTGGTTTTGTGGATGAAATGATATGCTTTTCTGCATACTTTCCATGAATTAGAAAAACAAAGCAATTTGGCCAAGAGTGGATGGAATATTCATTACTTTGCTAATATTTTCAATGTTTGTTGATGTATATTGAAACGTCACTGTCATCACTGTCAACACCTTTTTAAGCATTTGGTCATGGACAGTTACTACACATTGAGTAAGCGTTATAAAAAAAAAATAATGCAGCATCTAATGAGCGCGTGAAATGAATTTTGTATTGTCATTCTGTAGTCACAAGTGCTTCGCAACACATTTCACATGCATTCTATTCCAATATTTTCAATGTTTGTTAATGTATAATAAAGTCTCACTGTCACCACTGTCAATTATCGTGAATTTTAATTTCGCGAAGCACTAAATAAATGTTAACAATGCTTAATATAGCAATCCATTGATGCCTTTTACAATTTATCGTAATCGTTTAACTGACCTTTGATTTTATATCAATTCACATGCTATGGGTGTCTGTCATGTAATGGTCTATTGTAAACCATTATAGTAGCCATCCATCATAATGCCTAGACAACCCATTGCACTTTCTTTGTGATATGCATCGTAACTTGTTTGTTGTTAAATTAACTCATTATCATGTCTAGTTTATCCTTTGTACAAAAATGTCTGATTATGAACCACTCCCACATCTTAGCACATATAATGTAAGATATAATTGCTATATAAGGGTCACTTTTGTTGAAAGATTTTGTGTATTTTTTATCAAGAATCAAACGAGTTCAATTTTGTTCTTCTATCAATTGTTCTCTATCAACGTATTGTACTATTACTTCAGCTAATAAAGGAATTGTGTATTTCTCTGTTACCCCACATATTTACACCTACATCCAACGAATCTCTCTGCAATCAAAAACCTCACCCAAAATTTATAATTTAACTATCAAATCTTCCACGACAAAAATTTGCTTCTACGACAGTCAATACCTTTTTAAGCAGTTGGTTCTTAGGTCATGGGCAGTTACTACACATTGAGTAAGTGTTATGAAAGAAAATATGCAGCATCTAACGAGCGCGTCAAATGAATTTTGCATTGTCACTCTGTGGTCACAAGTGCTTCGCAACTGATTTCACATGCATTCTATTTCGGACTGACATATGTGTTAAAATTCTGCTAAATATGCAAACTAACGAGAATTTATTTAGCTGTATGCTGTATCTTCTTATGTTGATGCAGTCCCTTCCTGGTGTTGAACGATTTGCCGCAGCACTCGCATTGAGGATGAGATTCATGCATTCGCTTGTGACTATGAAATGTTGATTCATGGTCGAATGTCCGTCCACAACCGGTCAGTTTGCATTCATAGATGAAGGGCTGACCGTGTGTTTTCTTATGTGTTATATATTCCTTGTAACTGTTCGTGATCATAGTACATCCGAGATAAAAGCATTCGTAGCATCGTTCATCTGAAAAACTCTTATATTTGTTTTTGCAATTGATATTTTATTATGGTGTTTGGCAGCTAATTGACTAGTGTGATAAACCAGAAAATATCACTCCCATGAAATAATCTTATCACATTAATTTCAAATAATTTAGATCATAAGAAGTTGCTTAATCATTTTCGAGTATAGTTACAACAAAAAGTGTAATTGTGATTTTTCTATTGCATCAACACTCGCGGTCACAGATATTTCATAATGGATTTCACAGACACTCTATTCCAGGTTGACATATGTGTTTAAAATTTTGCTAGATTTGCAAACTAACGAGATTTTGTAGGGCAGCGCTTCTTATGATAAGTCAGTGCATTCTTGCTGACAAAGACTTTGCCACAGCACTCGCACTGAGGATGAGGTTCATGCGTTCGTCTGTGGCTGTAAAATGTTGATTCATGGTCAAATGTTCGTCCACAACCGGGCACTTTGCATTCATAGATGAAGGGTTGACCGTGTGTTTTCTTATGTGTTGCATGTTCGTTGTAATTTTTCGTGATCACAGTACATCCGCGATAATAACAAGTATGATTTTTCTTATCTGAAAAATATTTTTTTTTCGCAATTAGTAATCTATTACACCATTTGATAGTTGAAATAATGTAAGGAATCATAAAAATGTCATTGCCATAAGAAAATATCACATTGCATTTTGAATAAGTTAGGTAAAAAGTAGTTGTTAACTTATCTTCGCATATATTTGAAGCAAGCATCATACTTTTAATATTGTTCTCTTCAATTTTATGCCGCTAATGAAAGCAAAGAACCATTAGAGCGAAAAGTTGTTATGCAATTTGTCATTACCTGTTTCTGATCCTTCAAAAAGTGTAATTGTAAATTTTCAGTTGTTTTGTCACTCAGCGCTCACAAATGTTTTATAGCAGATTTCACATGCATTCCATTTCAGGTTGATATATATGTTTGAAATTCTGTTAAATTTAAAAACTAACGAAATTTTATTTCGCAGAGTCTGTTGTGTTTTCGCAGTGCATTCCTGTTGGTGAAGAATTTGTCACAATACCCGCACCGAGGATGAAGTTCATGTGTTTCTATATGATTATAAAATGATGATTTATGGTCGAATGTTCGCCCACAATCGGGCACTTTGCATTCATAGATGAAGGGTTGACCGTGGGTTTTCCTATGTGTGAGATATTCTTTGCGAGTTTTCGTGATCACTGTACATCCCGGGTAATGACAAGTATAATCATTCTTATCTGGAAAATTTTTGTCAAACATTTATTTTTGCAATCAGTAGTTTATTACACTATTCAGTACTTAAGTAATGTAAGAAATCATAAAAATAAAATAATATCACATTGCATTTTAAATGGCTTAGATAATTAGTAGTTGTTTATTTATCTTCGCACATATTTGTAGCAAAAATCACTTTTAATATCTTCTCTAAAAAGGTCTCACTTAGCAGGTAATTGTGAATTTTCTGCTGTGATGAAATTATTTTCGATTCGTTATTACTTCTTTCTTCAATATCACGTTATTAATGAAGTAAGGAATTATTAGAACGGAAATTTGTTATGCAATTTGTCATTACCTGTTTCTAATCCTTTATAGGCATTTTCCCTATAATTGAGGATATTCAAGTTATCCGAGAAGTGCTTATTGTCGATGTTACACTGTTCAGCATTTCCATGTTGACCGGATGTGTCGCCTGCGGGAGGAGTAAGTTGATGAAAATGGGTTGGAACGGCACTTTGTTGTGGACCAGGTAAGTGCATATATGTGATAATATCGTTGCTGTTGAGATTAAGTGAGGAAGAAGTTTCATTCTGAGCATCTAAATAACTCAAATTACAAGAAGTTTATTTATCTTTAAATGTATCTAAAACAAAACTCTCACCTCTAATGGAAGGATATCGCAGGTTATCATCACTCGTTTTTAATTCTTCATTAGCATCTCTCCAGAAATTCCTGTATGAGTCTATATCTGAGCTAAGTGATAACTCAAAATTAGTGTGACCGAAGGGATCATAGATATCGGAGAAGCCAGGATGAGGAGAATTTGTGATCTGATTAGTTTCAGATTTCGATTCTTCACTGCTTATATCCTCAGTTTCACTCAACTGAGCGAAATCAATGAACTGTGAAGGATCGGATGGAAATTCTGGGCTAAACATTGGCTCAAAATTGAGGTAATCGAGAAATCCAAAGGTATCTGAGATGCCAGAATAAGTATTATTTGTAATAACTTCATTAGCAGTGTCGAAATTAGGTAGATGGAAAGTTTCATTATCAGAAGCGATGCATAGTAGAAGATTGAACCAAGTGATGGGTGTCATAAATATATTGAAGAACATGGTGAAACACAATTTTGTGAGATGACAGAAATGCTCAAATGGAAGCTTTTTATTTCAGATTGCTTGGAATTCAAGACCAAAGGTTCAAATAGCTTTTAATCTGCATTGTGAAAAGTTAAAACCAAAGGTGAATTAGTTTTAAATCCGCATTGTAAAGTTTATAAATATTCTTTTGAAACCCGAAAGAAGCGCTGCAGTAGCTTGTTCTACCATTTCAGTAATACGTGTACACTGAGTGACATCGCAAAATATGGCATTTAATTAATAAAATGGTTTGTTATACATACCACTAATAATATCACTGATAGAACTTCATTGGATCACTTGGAATTTGATAAATATTGCTTATCGACATACATCCATAACTATTCCTACTATTATAAAAAAATTTCAACATATGCTATTTGAAAGGATGGAACAAATTTCAAAAAAAAAAGTTTGGTTGACATTTGCATAAAGGAAACTAATGAATAGCTGGAATTTAATGTCATTGAAATATTTAATCTGTGCAGTATATAATAATCCTGTCTACTTTGTTTAATAAAATATTGTATATTGAGTGGTAAATAAAATATTGAATGAATTATTTGCACGTTGTAAAAATTTTAGGTTTTAAATTTTGGTGACATCAATTAACTGACAACTGGAAATATATTGGTTTACTTTTGATGTTTATTCCACTATTATTTTGTTGGATTGTTTGATTCAGAAATTTACCGATCATTTCCTTACTTTTTTTTTAGTATTTATGCATTATTCAACATAATATAAAAGTCTTTTTCACATCAAGCGATTTCCTCACATGTCTTTTTTTTCTATTTCCAGAATCCCAATTTTTAATTTTGAATTAATTGAAACCTATTTTGGATGGCTTGTATTATTCAAATATTCTATTATTGCAACACATTGCATAGCTTTCAGTAATTATTTATGTCTAATATTTCTAATTCGCAGTTTGTTTGTTGATCTTCCGATCATCACAGAAATCGCCCAATATTCAGAATTGCAGCCTTTTTCTTTCGAAATATTTAATAAAGCAATTCGAAATTGCTTTATTTTCCTTTCTCCATTCATTTTCTTGGTAACTTTCCACTGCGCAATTAGTAAACTTATCGATTTTGATGACTTTCATGGAAATGGTACAGTGAGAGCTTACATTTGTTCCTTAGTTTCATTTCATCGTTTGAAATTTGAACTAAACAAAGCTTTTCAAATTCACATTAAAATTTTGTTCACTAATTTAACTGAAACTCACTAAATTTTAACAATTTAAAGATTTCTTAAAGCAGTTCGATTTCTCCATTTGTCTCTTTTTCATATTTTGTTCAATTATTTGTGTTTATTATTCCTTCAGCGTGTAAAATGTGTCTTTTCACTCAGTTTTGCATTGCTTAGAGTTTTGTTGACAATTACTCTCAAAATAAACTTTAGAAAGTACACCATGAAACGCTATTAGTAATTAAACAGGCTACCGAAAGATCATCTGAAAATCCTTATAAAGAATTGAATTGATCTGTGAAAAATGATACAGTATCATTAATGCAAAAAAAAAAAAAGACAACCAATGATGGAAGGAGCAATCAGCTAACAGTTGACAAAGCATATCTATCAACCAATTAACTTAATATAATTTAGTTTAATGCAATTTTAAATAAAAATTTAATTTTACATATTAATTTACACATATGAAATAACAAAGCAAAGTGCGTTGACTGTAACATTACTTGAAAATGCTGAAATTAGCAAATTGGATGGATGAATAATTGGTTATCAAAGTCGTAAATTTCTTTCTTACCTGGTCAATGACTCAACGAATTAAATTGCCCATTTAATATACATAATATTTGCTATTATATATATATAATATATTTAATAAAAAAATATGATGTCATCAAATTATTTTGCATGCTACTAAAGCTAAAATTGATATAAAAATTCAATTCTGTACTAGCAATTCACAAAATTTTATTGACTTATTGATAGATTTATAATAAACAATTTTAAAATCAATATTTCAGTAATAAAAACAATATCTCAATAATTATCATTTTAAATTGATATTTTAAATAAATAGTGATATTTTTATGAGAAGAATTCTGCTCCCAAATTACCGACCTAAGGTCTGGCGCCTGGGAAAAACCCATAAAAAATCCTATATCCCATCTCCAAAGTTCAAAATTATGTTTTAATTCTTTAAAATTTCAATTTTGTAAAAACCTAATATTTTGAAAATTGCATTTTTAATAAATTCACTACTGAAATTAATTGAATATGATGTCAACAAAATATTTTGCAAGGTATCAAAGCTAATATTGATATTAAAATTCAATTCTGTATTAGTCATTCACAGAAATTTATTAATTTATGATTTGTGTTAAAAAATTTTAATTTCGCATTTTAATAATAAGTTATCATCCTAAATTGATATTTCAAATAAATAATGATGCTAATGTGAGAAGAATTTTGCCCCCAAAATATCGACCGAAGGTATAGCACCAGAGAAAATCGCCAATAAGTTCAAATTTATATTATAATTCTTTAAAATTTCAAATTTATAAACTTCAAAGCCATGATTAATTAAAAATTTTATTAATTTCGCTACTGAAATATTGTTAAAACCTTAATAATAAAGTTTTTTTTTTAAATTTTATTTCATTATTATTACTGTGAAGCCGAACATGACCAGCACCCAAAAAGTGCATATAAAATAATCAATAAAGTTGAAAATATCTGTTTTTTTAATGAATTAATATATCTGAATAAATTTAACACCTAATTAAAATAAAATTTAACATTCTTAGAACTTATTTACTGATTTAAAATATAAAAAATCTTACAATTTGTAAGATTTTCAAAGAAAAAAAAAACAAAAATAAATTTTTATTAAAAATTAATTTTAATTGCAAAAATAAATCAAAATCATGACTTTTTAAAAATTTTATTGAACTTTAATAATTAGGTTTTTTTTAAAGTTTATTTTGTTATTATTGCTGCGAAGTAAGCAAACGGATGACCAGCACCCAAAACGGAATATGACCACCCAAAAAGATTTTTTGTATATTTAATAAGGAAATAAGTTCTGATAATGTCATATTTTATTTTATTTAAGTGTTAAAATTATTTATGCTTATTAATTCGTTAAAAAAAAACAGATATTTTCAACTTTATTGATTATTTTATAAGCATTTTTTGAGGGATGGTCATGTTCGGTTTGGTCACTTCACAATAATAATAATGAAATAAAATTTAGAAAAAACTTTATTATTAAAGTTTTAACAATATTTTAGTAGCGAAATTAATAAAATTTTTAATTGGTCACGGCCCTAATTATGTTTTTTTTTTCAGAGAGAGAGAGAAGAGATCAAGAGGCATTAAAATTTCTCAAAGTATTTATTTTGCATTTCATAATAAATGATAAGAAACGAAGTCTCTTTCTAATTCTTAAATTTCTTTGAATCAAGGATAAATGTTAAATTTGTGTAATAATTGGCAAAATTTTCCTCCTGTGTGTTTACGCTGAATTTTATAAATTTTTCAATACTTTGAAATTTTTTTCGTCAAATCCATATCACCATTTTAAATTGAAAATTTTAAATAGAATTGTCTTTTTAATTGCATTTTCTTTTCGTATCTCAAAAATACTGATAATCCAGTAAAATTTGTGAATGAAAAATGATTCATATAATCTTTCATCTTCTCTTCGTCTTAATTCTTCCATATATATAAATGGTTATCATTGAGTTTATTAAACGCTGTATCTATTTTACTCAAAGGAATTTACAATTCAGCTTCACTTTTACAAAAAGGAATTATATTTCTCAAAGTATTTGAAAAAATTGAACTTGAAAAGATTTAAAGAGCTAAATCATATGTGGTAAAATTTAGTCGAGATTGATTAAGCAAAATTTGATTTCTTTTTTTGTTTGTAGTAATTTAAGTTATTCGAGAATTGCGTGTGTATGCCACATGCTTCTTTTTGTTAATGTTTCTTTTTTATTTCACTAGTTTTATTGCTTAATGTTAACATATCATTTAATTGATAAAATTTTTTACTCTTTTCTTTGATTGTATACAAAGATATTTCAGTGTTTTGTTTATCATTTCAACTAGAAGTATTCATTGCATCTTTATTAGTTTTTTTGTTTTCTTTTTTCTTTCAGTGTTATCATGAAAACTTGATATTTTAGAAAATTTAGTTGATGGAGTTACTTCTTGAGAATTTCAAAGCTGAAGTTTTCGATTAACCAATAATGGATTAATGCAAGAATGCTATGCGAATTATAAATCGAAACACCGATGCATAATTATTTTAAATTTCTGCTATCTTAAACATGTCAAAAATTTTAAATTTTCTAAAAGAATTGAAAACTTTCTAAAATTTCTCAATTTTTTCTCCTCTCATCAATGAATGCATTAATTTGAAAAGAGGAAAAAAGAATAAGAGAAATTCATGATATCATATTCATTTGCATTACTGTATTATTTGAAAGCAAAAGAGATTAGTAATAGGAAGAATTTGAAAAGTTTTAAAATTTTCAAAAGAAACAATAACATTTTACAGGAAGAAAATACTAATCATATTTCAAATAGAAAAAAGAAAAACAAAAAAGCAAGAAGAAAAACTAGAAAAGAGAAAATAATATGAATAGTTTTACCATTGAAAATAATAATAATATTATAATCGCTGATTGAATCAATCAAGAACAGTAGAATATTTTTTTCTCCATATTTTCTTAGAATCAAGATCAAAAAGAAAAGAATAAGCATTCAATTTAGTTAGAAACTAATTCTAAGAAATTAGAGGAAATATTAGTGATGTAAGTAAAAAAGAGAAAAACGAAAAACTTTTAAAACCTTTATATTATTGATAAGAGTGATACAATGAATGTAAATTAAACAAAATGAAGGATAAAATTCTACTTTTCTGATAATATATAATATAAATGAAGTAAAAAGTAAAAAAGCTCTTTTAAATATGAAGTAAAAAGCCCTTTCAAATA